CTTCATCCAAGGTCCGCCGGAGTTGAAAGGCCACCACCTTCTCAACAACCTTCCTTACGAACGGGAGGTTGGAGACTGGGCGATAGTTGTTGAAGATGACTGGATCCAAGGAAGGTTTCTTAAGGAGGGGTCTCACCACCGCATCCTTTAGAGGATGCGTGAAGGATCCCTCCAGAAGAGAGGTGTTAACAATCCTCTGGAGCCAGCCACGTGTCCCCTCCCTGCTGGTTGAGACCAGTCAGGAGGGACACGGGTCCAGTAAATAGGTGGAGGCACTCACCGCTCCCATGGCCTTGTCCACTTCCTCAGGAGCGACAAGTTGAAACTCGCTCCATAAAATTCGATCAGGATCTTCCCCCGGCACCTCGGCTGGTACCGTCCAAGTGGAGTCCAGGTCCATCCGGATCCGAGTGACTTTATCCAACAGAAACTGAACAAATACCTCAGCTCTACCCTGTAAGGGTTCGTCCACATCCCTCCCTTTCAAGAGGGAGCGGGCTATCCTAAACAGGGCGGCTGGGCGAGATTCTGTGGATGCAATAAGAGTGAAAAAATGTGCATATTTTGCCGCCCGTATCGCCACTAGATAAGTCCTAATAAAGGCTCTTAATTAATTAATTAATTAATCAACAATCATCAAAACCATTTTTTTAAATTTAGCTTCAGAAATACACTAGCTGATAATTGTATATGTAACTAGTAACTGTCATTGAACATTCATGTAGACTTCTGACATATGTCCAAAGACAGGAACACACAGCATGGGCAAACAAGTGCAGAGTTGTTCAGAGTTGTTTAGCTTGAATTCACAGACCAAAAGTGATTTTATTCACAATGGCTTTAAAATATGAGTCAGATTCTAAAATTCTATGCACAAGCTAGCCCTCTTGTTAGAAACACTGTTTAGTTGATCACCAGCCATCTTAAATGCTGAGCAGAAACCTAGAATTATCCATTATATACAATGGGATATAATTTTGAATTCTAGTAAGTAATAATAGCTTCTAAACATAATGTTCCAATAACAGACAACTGCACATTGCAAAGACTCCTGCAAACAGCCACACAGGATAAAAAGGGAGAGGGGGGAGAAAAGAAAGAAAAGAAAGTTGGAAAATGAAGATGTTTTGACAGTAATATAAAATTATGCTGCTTTATTGCAGTTCCAGGTGGTGTACTCTTTTCAGAATGAAGATGAATCAATAGTTAATCCTGTCAGAGAAAATAAATATATTTCTAAAAATGGAACAAACCTTGCTATTGTTGCCAAACCACCAGAAGTAAGTGAGGGTGCCTGACTGATTTGGCCAAACTACAGCTGTGAGATTGACTTCCTTATTTCTGACGGCCACAAAAGGCACATTCAAGTGGACACGTTCCACTGGACCTGTAGAAGGATAATAATACACTGTCACATTCCTGCTTTTATTCATATCTTCAGGGGGGTTAAATGAAAAATAAAACTAAGGAAAAGAAACAGGTAATAGCCCCTTTTTCTTCTTGGCACTTCTATCTGCTTAAATAACTATAAAACAATATAATGATTTAAAAATAACAAAGATGTAACATCTGAAGAAAAGCAAGCGGAGGACAGCTATTGCAATGAATGCTATTGCATTGTGATTATACCAAACTGTGATCAATGTAAACAGCTATAAAATAGTCTGGAGTTTGAAATACGCACTAGCAATAACAACAACCTCTAATGCATATTCCCACCCTCACCCTCAAAGGTTTTTGGAGAATGGCTGCAATACAAATTAACCCTGGAAAAACAGGTGAAGTCCCAGACAGGGCAGCATTGTGTTTCGATCTTCAAAAAGATAGGAGAAAGAAAGACGATACAGAAAATTACAGATGGATCATCCTGATATAGAACACTTCATAAACAGAGTTTTTAAGGACTTTTAAAAAATCATATAGGTGGTAAAGTGGTAAAGTCAGCATGGATTTTTCTGGAATATATCCTACCAGATACGGAGGAGAAGGGAGAAGGCACCAAGGAGCAGAAAGGAGAAGGCATAAAGGAGGAGGGGGGAGATCAATAAGGCACACATGGATATATAGTATGAAAGTAAGAAATAATTCATGGAAAAGCTATTATATTTTGCCAGTGTAATAAATAAATATGCACACATTGATCTGCCAATTTCCTTCCACAAATTACTGGAACATTTTAAATGCCATATTTCATCATTTCAACAAAACTGAAATGAAAATATCCCGTGATATTTTTCTTAACAAAATAGGTAATAATGAGTTGGATTGTATGGTTTCTCAATTAGGTAACTACACAATTAGGTCATTTGCAGATACCAAAACTAAATGGGCAGAATTATTAATAACTCAGGAAACAGAACTATACTTCAAAACAATGGTAATAAGCAAGAGAAATATGATGAAAGTAATAGTGAACTTTATTTAACATGGTAAGTGATATGGTCATTCAAAAGATAAAAATCAATGCACAGATATATGCAGGTTGAGGAATATCTGTGAGGTAATGGTAAATGTATTTATATTGATATATGTATCCAGGTGATGTATGTATATTTCTATAGCTATATTGTATATATGGAAACTTTAATATCAGTAATGAATCATAATTTTTATGATCTGAGTGTGGGGGACACCTATGGAGCAAGTTTGGGCTGGGGATTGGGGGCACTATGTCAGAGTATCCAAATTCATTTACATTGTTGTAAAATTGTCTTGTTGGAGAAAATAATTCAGATATTGTGATGGAATGCAGCCCTTCTCTCCTGGGCATCTGGACTAAATTCTACCACAAATATTCTTCAAATAAAAACATATTGGCAGAGAAAAATGCATAACTTATTGGTAAGCAATTTTCTCTGGTGCCCCCCAGTGCAGTGCAGCAGATGGCTATTTAAGTTTTCATATGAAGAAATTAGTCATTTACTTTGTCACCAATAAGGGGACAAAAAGAGACAGAAAGGGATAAAAAACAGTTGGAAAAGAGTGAAGTTTTAACAGCAATATAATCTGTCTATCTATCTGGTTTTCCTCCTTTAGTTTTTCCATTAACATTCACATGCCGAAATGAATTTTTATTTGTCCTTGTTTTACATCAGGCATGTTTGGAATAACTGATAGCTTCCTGCAGTTGTTTGGGTGCTCCAGTTAGATTAAATGCTCTAATTGTGAGCAGGTGAGATCTTGCAATTAGTCATCATAGCTATTGTCCAGGTCAGTTCAAATATAAGAATGGTTTTGCATTTAGGAGGTATTTTTTGAATTATTATTTCAAAAAGAATAGAGGAGAAAGGAGAAGGCATAAAGGAGGAGGGGGGAGATCAATAAGGCACACCTGGATATATAGTATGAAAGTAAGAAATAATTTATGGAAAAGCTATTATCTTTTGCCACTGTAATAAATAAATATGCATACAAATATGTATTCATATATTTGCACGCACAAGAATTAGAATAACATGATGGAACTTTGACCACTGAATGTGACAAGCAAACCAAGTGTTTTCAAGAGAATACTAAAAAGTTGAAGAAAGAGCAGTCATGCACAATTTAGGGATTGTCAGGGCTGCTGTTTCTCTGAAGATAACTGTGTTCTGTTTCTTAAAAAAAGATAAATGTGTCCTGTTTCTTAAGAAAATAATCATAGAATCACATATGGTAACAATAGGTTTCACATTCTAAAAAATAAAATCACAATAAAAAGAAAAATGAAAATCAGCCCAAGAGCATCACAGTTTATAAGTCTTCCTATAAGATCTTACAAAACAAGTTACCCAGTAATAGGTATATAATAGGTTGCTTCTTTAGGACAAGACTTGAATACATCAACAGTTGTAGAGGATTAATTGCTGTCTTGGTGAAGAGCTCAGAGATTAAACAAATGAGATTGAGTCTGGATGGAAAGAGGCAAGAGAAAGAGGGGGACTCGCATTTTATTATTTGTTGGCTTGCTCTTAACTTCTTTTGATCTTTGTTCTTTCAGAAGTACAATTCTTCCTGTTTCTAAGCATGCATGATAAGGATCATGAACCTGATTAGAAACTGACTGGAAGGATTAAAAATTGTTTTGCTGAGAATCCCTATAAAAATATGAATCATGGATCATGAAAATCTATGATTTTACAGGGATTATGAAATTAATTAGATTGATTAAAGTTCAATTTGTTGATAAACGCTGCTTCTATAAGCAGAGAAAATAAACTGCCGATTAAAAAAACTTTTGGAAGACCATCTGGATGATTCAGTTGGTCTAGAAAGCAGTGGCATGGCACTGACATGCATGCCTCCATATGCCCCATGTAACACCTCTGCTTTATGAGGTACACTGGTTGACAATTTTCTTCTGAGTTCAATTCAAGGCTTGGGTTGTTAATATACTGTATGTCATATATTGCATAGCTACCTGAGGAACTTCCTATCTTCCAAAATATCAACCTGGCTAATCTAATCTACAACAGAATAACAGAGTTGGAAAGGACCCTGGTGTTCTTTTAGTCCAACCCACTGCTCAAGCAGGAAATCCTATAACATTACAGACAAAAGGTTGAACAAGCTCTCCTTTAAAATCTCAAGTGTTGGAGTACCTACACCTTCTGGAGGAAAGTTGTACTAGTGATTAATTGTTCTGTAAGAATATTTCTCCTTAGTTCTAGGTTGCTTCTCTCCTTGATTAGTTTCCATCCATTGCTTCTTATCTGCCTTCAGGTACATTGGAGAATAGATTAATACCCCCCTCTTCTTTGTGGCAGCCCCTTAGGTATTGGAACACTGCTATCATGTCACCACACTAGTCCTGATAACAGAGTTCCAATAACTGAGGGCTTGCCACAGAGAAGCAGGAATCAATCTATTTTCCAATCTAGTAGACTAGTGCATTCCAGGTTCCATCAATGCCATCGATTTGCACCCTGGAAGCACACCTTATCTTCTACTTTTATTTCTTTTTTGCTTTGTCTTCTTTTCTTGTCTGAAATGTTTTTAACAATTCATGAAGAACTCAGAATTGCTGGCAGTCATGCAGAATAAAAATGTAGAACATTATGGCTGGTCACAGTCATCCAGATGTTTAAACTGGATTTGGCTATTTTGCCATCTATCAAGTCCTTCTCAAGAACCTGGTATAATGATAATTATCTTAAATTGCAAAATTAAATGCAATCTAACTAAAAAAGTTAACACTGGATCCACTGATAAAGCATTTTGTGAAATTTATTTGCTCTCTTTACAAATCAAGCTATCTTGCCTCTTTTTAGCCCATCTCCTTCAAGGTTCTTGATTATACATAAAGTACATTTGCCCTATGCTATGCTATGCTATGCTATGCTATGCTATGCTATGCTATGCTATGCTATGCTAT